GTGGGGAGGGGCCAAGCGTTCTTTTCAGAGGTGGGTGCACCCTTTCCCAACCCAAACATGGTTTCATCCAGACAAAGCCCAGGCACGGGCAGGAACGTGGTGGCATCTGTCGGCGCTATGTAAGCGTCCCGGGTCTTGCCACCTGGCTCTTGGCTGTGGCCCTCACCGGTGAGGTTGTGAGTTCAGATGGGAGCATTTTAGAAGCTTGTTGAGCAGAGCGCTGTGTCCAGGGATAGGTTGGGGTCTCTGTGGAAAGGAGGGGGAGTGAGACTGGCCCAGACAAAGCCTTTCCCTCCACTTTGGGACCAAAGATGCTGGCCAAGTCCCTGCCTGGCTCCTCCAGGACTGTATCCCATAGGCAGCGCCTATGGGACAGCAGAGACCAGCCCTGCCCCTGGCTCAGACAGGCCTGTGTTGGACCAGCCCTGCGACTGCAGTTTCCTCATCTGTAACATGGCGTCAAGAGCACCTGCCGCAAGGGTGCTGTGGGGTTCCATGGGAGGCCGGAGAGCAGAATGGTTATCAGCTGTAGCTTCAGAGCCAGCGAGACCAGGCTTTGAGGCCAGCGCGGTTCTCAGTAGCCATGTCCAGCATGACCCAGTAAGGACCCCTGGTCTCTGAGCCATGGCCTCACCCTCTGTAAGATGGGGGTGGGAACAAGATGGATCTCATGAGCTTGCTGTGAGGATTAACAGGAAAAACACATGGGCACTACTTGGTCCAGAACTAAACCCTCAATAAATGACAGCTGCTCCTTCTGCTGTTATAGGATGCCTGGAACACGGTCCATGGTACCTAGCAGATGGTAAACTTGTCTTCATTGGATACACATGGTACGTATGGTGTTGCACTTAGGACAGTGTCTGGCACATGGGAAGCATGAAGCAGTGAAATAAAATAACATGGGGCCAGGTTCTCACATCTGTAATCCCAGTACTTTGGAAGGCCGAGGTGGATGGATCACTTGAGGTGAGTAGTTACAGACCAGCCTGGCCAATATGGTGAAACCCAATCTCTACTAAAAAATATAAATATATGAATTAGCCAGGCATGGTGGTGGATGCCTATAGTCTCAGCTGCTCAGGAGGCTGAGGCAGGAGAATTGTTTGAACCATAGGCGACGGAGCAAGACTCTGTGTCAAGAAAAAAGCAGGCCAAGTGCAGTGGCTCACGCTTGTAATCCCAGCACTTTGGGAAGCCGAGGCAAATGGATCACCTGAGGCCAGGAGTTCGAGACCAGACTGGCCAACATGGTGAAACCCCGTCTCTACTAAAAATACACACACAAAAAAAATTAGCTGGGTGTGGTGGTGCATGTCTGTAATCCCAGCTACTCGTGAGGCTGAGGCAGGAGAATCGCTTGAACCCAGGAGGCAGAGGTTGCAGTGAGCTGAGATCGCACCACTGCACTCCAGCCTGGGCGACAGAGTGAGACTTGGTCTCTAAATAAATAAATAAATAGAAAAAAAAAATAAAATAACATGGAAATACAGCATGAAGGAAGAAGACTCCATCTCTGCCCTAAAGACATTCCCAGTGTATTTGGGTTCTTGTCCCATTTATTCCCCTCCCGAGTCAGGCCCAGTGTTTGACATCTTTGACACCTGCAATATGGCAGAGTGGGGACAGGGCCTGTCCTCAGGGAGCTCACACTGTAGAGTGAGGGAAACAGACCAGAAGGTGCTACTGGAAGTGGGGGTGGTCTCTGGGTAGGTCCCCGACAATGTAAATGTTGGCTCTTACCCTTCCCTCCTCCTTTCTCCCTCCCTGATTCTGGACTTTCCCCCACCCCAACTATCTATCTTGGCACCAACGCCAGGTTAAGATTCCCCAAATGCCACACTGACGACGCTCCTCCTTTGCTGAAAGACTCGGTGCTATCCAAGTTCTGTCGCAGCATCCACATGCCTCAGTAGAGAGAGGCAGCCCTAGGTGGGCAGGGGCTGGCCCAGGAAACGTGGGGGCTCTAACTCACCTTCCTGACTTTGGTTTTTTTGAAACAGGGTTTCACTCTGTCACGCGGGTTGAAGTGCAGTGGTGTGATCCTGGCTCACTGCAGCCTCGATCTCCTGGGCTCAAGGTATCCTTTCACCCCAGTCTCCCCAGTAGCTAGGACTACAGGCACATGCCACCAAGCCTGGCTAATTTTTTTTTAATTTTCTGTAGAGACGGCGGTCTTGCTGTGTTGTCCAGGGTGGTCTTGAACTCCTAGACTCAAGAGATCCTCCCACCTTGGCCTTCCAAAGTGGTGGGATTACAGGCGTGAGCCACTGCATCTGACACCTTCCCAACTTCTCCTCAGGTCAACTTGTTTCATCCCAACTGGCCCACACCTGGCCTCGGGAATGCCCTTATTCCTCCCCATCCAGCTTTGTTCTTTTCTCTTTCCCCACTCCGTCCACCCTCCCCTCTCCCCACCTCCCGAGACCCTCCCTGGACCCTTTTCTCTGACATTTTGTTGGCTGGGATTACAGGCGTGCACCACCACGCCTGGCTAATTTTTTATATTTTTAGTAAAGACAGGGTTTCATCATATTGGCCAGGCTGCTCTCAAACTCCTGACCTCAGGTGATCCACCCTCCTTGGCTTCCCAAAGTGCTGGGATTCCAGGTGTGAGTCACCACGCCCGGCCTGGGCTCCCCCTACTCTTGAACCAGATGCAGGTGGTCTCCTAACTGGTCTCTCTGTGCTTCAAACCACCCTCCCTGCAACCTAAGGTTGATCCATGTTGCAAATCTGACCATGTCACTCTCCTGCCTGCCACCCTTGTGTGGATGAAGTATCTCCTGCTCTAGTTTTGCTTTAGCTGACAATGGTCAAGGCCTCACTAAGTGCCAGCAGTCCTGCCAATCTTTCAAGGCCACTTCACATCCCATCTCATTCACCCATTCATGCATTCAAACATAATAAATGCCAGGGACTCTGCTAGGTGTTTTTTTGTTTGTTTTCTTTCTTCTTCTTCTTCTTTTTTTTTTTTTTTTTTGAGACGGAGTCTCACTCTGTCACCTAGGTTGGAGTGCAATGGCATGATCTCAGCTCACTGCAACCTCCACATCCCGGGTCCAAGTGATTCTCCTGCCTCAGCCTCCCAAGTAGCTAGGATTACAGGTGTGTGCCACCGTGCCCAGCTAATTTTTGTATTTTTAATAGAGAAGGGGTCTCACCATGTTGGTCAGGCTGGTCTCGAACTCCTGACCTTGTGATCCGCCTGCCTTGGCCTCCCAAAGTGCTAGGATTACAGGCATGAGCCACCACGCCCCACTGTTTTTCTTGTTTTCTATCATTTTATTTTTAAAAAATAGAGATGGGGGGGCAGGCGCGGTGGCTCACACCTGTAATCCCAGCACTTTGGGAGGCGAAAGCGGGAGGATCACTTGAGCTCAAGAGTTCGAGACCAGCCTGGCCAACGTGGTGAAACTCTATCTCTACTAAAAATACAAAAATTAGCCAGGCGTGGTGGTGCATGCCTGTCATCCCAGCTACTCAGGAGGCTGAGGCATGAGAATTGCTTGAACCCAGAAGGCAGAGGTCGCAGTAAGCCGAGATGGCACCACGGCACTCCAGTCTGGGTGAGAAAGTGAGACTCTATGTCAAAAAAAAAAAAAGAGAGAGAGAGAGAGTGAGACAGGGGTCTCACTATGCTGTCCAGGCTGGTCTTGAACTCCCGGGCTCAACTGAGCCTTGGCCTCCCAAAGTGCTGGGATTACAGGTGTGAGCCGCCGCACCTAGCCTATGCTAGGTATTTACAGACATTTCATAACTTAATCTTCGCAACAATGCTCTGGGGTCACAACTATTGTAAGTCCCATTTGGCAAGGCAGAAAGCCAAAGCTCAGAGTCCAGGAAGTTGCTCAGGACACACCTGGTGAATTTTAAGTAGCAGGATTCCAGTACACCTTTGATCCACTCCCTGCCAAGGAGAAAAGCTTTATGCAGAAACCAGGGCATTGGGTGGTAACAGGGAAACTTCTCCCAGTACAGGGCCAGGATGCCCAGTGTTCGGGCTAGCTGTGTGTGACATTGGATCAGTGAGGGGAGCCTCTCCCACATAGGCCAGGACCAGGACTGAAACCAGTAAGGAGAGGAAGCTAAGGAAACAGCTTCCTTGTCAGCCCCTGTCCCTCCCTGGTCCCAGACCACATGGTGGGGTCCCTTTCCCCATCCTGAGGTCCACAGAATGACAGTCCCCCTCCAAGTTAACTGGGAAATAACTCAGAAAGCCACCCGCAGAACCAATCCCTCCTCCTCCTTGGGGAGGACTTGGAAAAACTGAGAACAGCCAAAAGCCAGAATGGAAACTCAGTTCTCCTGACTGGGATCCAGGGCCTGCTCTACTCTTCCTCCTTAGAAGTCCTTCCCAAGGATCCCTGACATTCCATGGTCGGGGAGCAGGAAAGAGGCCTTGGCGGGTACTCACTCACCAGCTATGTGAGTAGAGCGGTCACTTCGCTTCTGTGGCTTCATCTGTAAAATGGGTATAACCCAAAATACCAGACTCACAGGGCTGCTGAGAGCTTAAATGAATAACACACTTACGCAAAGTGTCTGGCATACAGGTGCTCAGCCAACCTCAGGTCCAGCTATGTCGTTCTCCAAGAACTTAGATGAAGGAAAGAACCCACTCCCACCCACCCCGCCCCCACCCCGATACACACAAAGGGCAAATGAAAAAATACGACGAAACACATGCGGGTCAATGCTACGGGGATTCCTCGTCGGGGAAGTTTCTTCCCTTATCAGCAGTTGGATGATGCAGATGGCACAAAGGAAAAACAAGAACGCTCGGACCAATGGGAGGACTGCGATTTGGGGAAGCACTCATTCTTTTCCCAGAGATCGGGAGTTCGACCTTCCCCATACACAGTGATTTGGCTTCACTAGCCCAGACTGCGGGCCTGCAGGGAAGGGCGAAGCGGGGCGGGACCGGGGGCGGGCGCTGCGCGAGGAGGGAGCAGCGCGGGGCGGGACCCTCCCCGCGGCCCACGCGGAGCCAGGAGGCGCGGACTACAGCTCCCGGCCTGCCCCGCGCGTGGTCCCCTCCCGCCCCCCGCGCCCGGGAGGAGGATGCAGACGCCGCGGCCGGCGATGAGGATGGAGGCCGGGGAGGCAGCGCCGCCGGCGGGGGCGGGCGGCCGCGCCGCAGGCGGCTGGGGCAAGTGGGTGCGGCTCAACGTGGGGGGCACGGTGTTCCTGACCACCCGGCAGACGCTGTGCCGCGAGCAGAAGTCCTTCCTCAGCCGCCTGTGCCAGGGGGAAGAGCTGCAGTCGGACCGGGTGAGGCCCCCGGGGTGGGCGGCGAGCGGGCGGTGGGTCCTCTGCTGGCCCGACACAGGGCTGTCGGGCCTGGCTCGCCCGCCAGGCTGGGAACCCGGCTGCGTTCATTTCCGAGGAACTGGAGGCGGGAAGAAGCGGCAGAAGGAGGGAAGGGGGAGGTGGGTCTGGTAGTGAGGGATGTGCCCATTGCCGTGGCAACGGGACAACGCAGGTCGCGGCCATTAGAAGCTCTCCAGCTGCCCTGGATCGGGGCCTCTCCTTCTCCTTTGGGGCAGTGGACAGGGAGAGACCTGGGGCCTTTCCTCCCTCCCAAAGGGGACTCCTGCTCTGGGGAAGGAGTCGACGAGGCTACTTCTCCTGCCCTTTGGGATGTGGGTGGCGGAGGGGTGCAGGGAGCTAGCTGGATGGAGGAGCCGTGGGGCGCCTTGTGAGCGGGCTGAATGTAGAAGGAGCATTGGCCCAGCGGGCACTGTTTCTGAGCACCCACCCTGACTCTGCTGCACACTGCCTGCTGCGACCTTGGGTCGGACCCTTCCCTGCACTGCGCTCAGCCTCCTTGCTCATCTGTAACACGAAGGGCTGGTCTGAAGATGACCTCTAAGGTCTCCTGTCCCCCATCCGTGACCTTCCGATGCTGTGGCCTTTGGCAAGTCGCCTCGCCTCTCAATGCCTCCCATCTCTCTGTGGAGTTGCATGGAAGCCCACTCTGGCTCCCTGCCCGCCTGAGTGTCCAGTGAGATAGTGGCTTCTTTGGAAACTTGTAAATATCCCCTGAAAGCCTAGGGACCTGGGGGCGACAGTGGGGCTGGAATCAGGGGACAGCTTCTAAGAGGGACATTCGCCGAGCCCTGTGCTGGCCCAGTTGCCACTCAGACCTCGTGTCACCAGATGCTCACAGCGACCCCTGATGACGGGGAGGGGAGTGAGGCTCAAAGAGGCCAAATCATTAGCCTAAGGTCACACATTCGGGAAAAGTCAGAAGCAGGGTTTGAACTCAGGTCCACCTGACCCCAGTGCCTTTTTGCTCCTTTGTGCCTGCTCCATCCAGGGAAGAGCTCTCCCTGGACTCGCCTTCCCTCCCTGTGCATGTGTGGGGTTGGCCTGGGAGAGGCCTCACTCTTCGCTCACCGAGCATCCCTCACCTTCATAGGATGAGACCGGGGCCTACCTCATTGACCGTGACCCCACCTACTTCGGGCCCATCCTGAACTTCCTCCGGCATGGCAAGCTGGTGCTGGACAAGGACATGGCTGAGGAGGGTGAGTTGGTTCAGGGGACTGGCCTGGGGCCCACATCCTAGCCCGGCCCTCTGCAGCCTGCCAGGGCCCTCTGTGGAGGTCCCAAGCCATTTGGACAACCAGGATGGCCATCTGCCTGCTTCGTTGTTTCCTGCCTCTTCCCATCCGGACGAGTCTGATTCCCAAGCATCTGCCTGTGCCCAGCCTGGGGCTCTGCCAAGCGGACGGGCTCAAGCTTTCCCAGGGTACTGGCAGGGAGGTGACAAAGACACACGCGCAGGGGATAGAGGAAGTCAGCAATGCCCTGTAGCCTCTGCGGTGGGCTGTGATGCCCTTTCTCTCTGGCCTCCTAGGAAGCCAGATGTGGACCGTCACATCCGGAGGCTGGGGTGACAGGAATTTGGTGTTGACAGGCATGGGGAGAGCACTCTCTCTCTTTCTCTGGCTGATCCAGTATCTCCAATTCTGCCTGGTGAGGGCTTGTAAGTGGGTGGAGCGGGTGACTGTTCACTAAGTCTGGCAGCCTGTGCGGCACAGTGCTGGTTGTGGGTGGAGGCAGGGGAGGGGGGAGTCTGCTTCCCAGTGGGGCTTTGGTTATCCCCAGGCCTAGGTGGCAGAGGCCCTGGATATGCCCATATCTGGGCCTAACAAACAGTGGGGAAGCCGTGTCTGGAAGAACGACCTGTTAGCAGAGCCCCAGCCAGGGGCAAGGACTATAGTCAATGCCAAGTTAACTCTTCTTTGGGACACAGGGTGTGGCTCTGGGTCAGCTGATCCAGCCAGACCAGCTTGAACATGTCACTTCTTCTCGCTGCATCTCCACTGGTATCTGTTAAATGGGGGCGGTGATCTGCCTCCTGGAGGGAGATGTCATGAATCCTGTGCACAGACAGCACCTGCATCTGTGCGTGCCTTCCTGCTCTGGGCCATGGTCTGCCCTCCCTGAGCCCTATGGGACACAGTGGTCTGGAGGCCCAGCAACTCTCTAGCAGGTCAGGGCTGCAACACCAGAGTCCACTGTGGGTACCTGGCCCTGCAGAACCCCACAGCTTCCCTGTTAATCCCTGCGGGAGCACAGATACCATGGGAGTGGCCTAGGCTCAGGAGCAGGCCCCGCTGGGAAGGAAGTAAACACCCAAGCTGCGTCACAGCCAGCACCTGTTTACACGCCCTGCGTTCTCAAAGCCCTGCTATTCCCACACCTGCAGACAGGGCTGTCTGGGGACTAGAGGATCAGACAGGGCTGTCCGGGGGCTAGAGGATCAGACAGGGGAGGGCCGAGGAGCTCCCGCTCAGGGGCTAGAGGATCAGACAGGGCTGTCGGGGCTAGAGGATCGAGGGCCAGGGCTGTCGGGGCTGAGATCCACTGATCCTGGGGGAGCTGGGGATCATGACCTGTCCGGGGGACAGGGGATCACACAGGGCTAGGACTCATCCAGGGGATAGGGGATCTAAGATGAGACTTACTAGCTGTGTGACTTTGAGAAAGTGACCTAACCCCTCATGCCTCCAGCCTTTATCTGTGAAATGGGATCATAGCAACACCCACCTCACCAGCCTGTCATGAAGATAAAGGGTTAATAGCAATACACCATCATGGAGTTCAGTGCCTGGCCGATGGATGTGGGGTGCGGTGCTAGCTGTCTGTCACCTGCAGGGCTCTGCCCAAGGCCACAGTTGATTCACCTACTCTTACCAATCCAGATAGCAGCCTCCCTGACCTGACACCTCCCTGCACTCTGTGTTGAGTCCTGTGTAGGCCCAGAGACGAGGCAGATGAAGCTCCATGAGCCCATCTTAGCCATTTCAGGCGGCAATCATGAAGTACATAGATTGGGTAGCTTGTGAAAATCAGAAATTTCTTTCTCTACATGGTCTACTCAGAGGCTGAAACCGAGATCGAGGCACGGTGGCAGCTTCTGGTGAGGACTTTCTTCTGGGCTGCAGAGCTGCTGACCTCTGGTTGTCCTCTGGCAGAAAGAGGCAGCTAGCCCCACCACCCGCCCCAGCTCTCGAGAGCTTGTTTGGAGGTTTCACATGGGGCAGCGCAGCTGCTCACACACCCTTGACCTGAGCTGGGTGGTGTTTATGGGGGTGGTCGCCCTCTTCAGGAGCCCAGCTTTGGGAGGACACACCTGTAGTGAGTGAGGAGGAAGGGACATGCACCTAGCCAGCCAGATCCACTAAATCCAACCTGGCAATTCAGTGGGTGACAGATGTCCACAACCAGATCCCTCACATCCAATCAGCCTTTCTTATGGAAGACTGATCCCACCCTGAGGACTATCTTACTCCCTGATCTGTTACTCCTTTAATCCACCGTCTCTGGTTTCCTTGAGGTGATTTTGGGGAACACACTGCATGCCAGCTCATAATGAGCCCTGTCCCCAGGGAGCCCAGAGGCCAGTCAAGGAAAGGGCCGAGGTCCTTGCCTTCCTGGGAGCAACCTAGAGGGTGTCAAGCCTTTGGAGAGCTCTGGCCCTTCTTCACTATTAGGCTGACATCTTCATCTCCAGATCAACTTAGCATCAGATGAGGACAGTAAGGCCGGCTCTCCTCCTCTCTTATCCCTGGGACTTGTGATGAGCTCGTGTGGGGTGTTGCAAACTCGCAAAGTGAGGCAGTTGGGAACGTGTAGTCCTGAAGTGCTACTTACAGTGGGAGAAGGGCAGGCTCTGGAGTCTGCGGTGCTTGAGTTCCCTCTGCCACTTACCAGCTGTGTGACCCAGGTTGAAGCTGCTTCTCTTGTAGAACACACCCCTACAAGTTTTTCCCAGTTGTTCAATGCGGATGATGAAAGTACCTCCTTCTAGTTCACCGGAATTCAAAAATGTAATACTTTCCTAGCACTTACAGTGTGCTTAATAAATAGGAGCACATGATCGGGTTGAGCCAGGGCCCTGCTCATGGTGACATTCTGGGGATCAGTCCCAATGACCCTGCTGTCTCTTGATGGCCCTAAAGCTGCCCCAGACTGTGGCCTGGCAGGTGCCCCTGGAGTCCACGCTCAGCACAGCAGGAAAGCTATGTGGCAGCCTCTCAGCCCTTCCACAAAGTGTGGGATCAGTGAAGAAATGCTCCCTTTTGCTTGACCCCTGAACTCACAGACACTCAGCTCACCCTCAGGGTGAGGTGATTGGAGGCAAAAGGAGTGGGTTCAGGGTGGAGGAACAAGAGGAGAATGGGGCATGGAGGCAGAAAGAGTGACCTGTTTCTCATGGTCATTCCCCTGTGTGCAGGGGTCCTGGAGGAAGCTTGGGAGTTCCACCACAACATCGGCCCACTGATGTCATCAGGGAGCCGGATGGAAGAGAAGAGCTACACGGTGACCCCAGGTGGGGAGGCGAGGCCTTACGCCACCGTGCCAGGGGCAGGGCGGTGTGGAGAAGAGGAGGAGCTGGGAGGCGCTGTGAGTGGGAGGCACATGGAGGTTGGAAAAGACAGGACCAGTGTTTTATATCACGTGGGGAAACCTACTGAGGCTGGCCTGCTCAGGGGAAGCGTGGTTGTTGGGCTCCCAGGCTGCCCCAGCTGGCCCAGGCTGGAAGATGGACACTGGGGTTCAGTCCTGTCTCAGCCCCATTTGCTCTGCTGATGGCTTTGAGCCCAGGCTCGCCTCTCTGGACCTTGATTTCCTCTTATGGGATGAGAGGGGGTGGAATGGCACACCCATCCCTTCCTCCATGAGCAGAGAGGTCAGTGTGGAAGTACAGGGAATTGCACCCTGCAGAAGAGAGGCAATGCAGGATTATTAAATTGTGCATTCGTGGCATCAGATGGAAATAACGCCTGTTTGACAAGCACGAGCTGTTAGAGCTGGCGTTGAGCCTGGAAGGCACAGGCCTCCTGGCCAGTCTGCAGGAAGGGAGAGGGAATTTTCTGCCTCTCTTGCAGGGATGTCTCTCATGAGGTTACCGGGGGGACCTGCAGTGGTGAGAACCATCTCCCAGGAAAGCCTGGGATTGGAAGGGGAAGCTTATGTCTCCTTGTGGGGAGGGGCTGACTCCTTGAGGAGTGACCAGAGAATCTGAAACTACCCAAGCCCTACCCATGTTCTTTCTTGAATTCCCTCCTGTCTGGTTCTGTCTCGCACCCTTGGGCTTCCAGGAGTGAGCCTTGGGCAAGTAACTGGACCTCTGAGCCTCCAATGGGGAAAATCTCACCACCTACTCCCAATGCTGGGACCCCTAAGAGGGATTAGTGAGATCGTCTGGTGAATCTGGTGAGGAGCAGAGGCACCACTCCAGAGCATGGCTGCCTCCCCGCAGCCACCTCTTCTCTTTCTCTTCCTCTCCTTCTTTTTGGGCCTCTATTCTGCAGAGGAGTGGTGGCAGGAGGTGCTCTTCCACCACATCCTCGGGGTGCCTGGTGCTCCACACAGGTGTTGCCCTCTATGTGTCCCCACTACTGCCCCAGATCCCTTCATAAAAAGCCATAGCATTGCTCCGCAGTCTGCCAGGAGGAGGCTCTCAGATGGTCTCCACCTGCTGTCCTGTGATGAAAAACATGGCAGCTTTGTTTTGAGTCAGCTGAGTTGTTTATTGCCAGGTTTGGGAAGGCCTCACCAGCTCTGTGACCAAGCAGGCCCCTCAGCCCTCTGTCCCAGCCTTGGGTTCCCACCACAGTCCGCTGCCCAAAGAGGGTCTCCCAAATCAAACTAAACAGGTTAGGAGGGCCACACTTTGGCATGTGGCGGAGTTGGCCGAGAGAGAGAGGACAGAGCCCCGAGTGGCCTTTACAGGGGCAACATGGAGGGCATCTTGATGGTGGGAGTCCTCACACATGCTCAGGTGGTGATCTGCATCTGGTAGCATGAGCGAGTCTCTGGCCCCAGTGACCAGAGTACAAAGAGGAGACCAGGTGTCCACATATAAGTGAGTGGAGTCTCCTGTGAGTCAGCGCCCCTCTTACAGGTCTAGTCACAGCACTCGCCTGATCCAGCAGTTCCTGCAGTATTACAGTTCAAGAGTCTCTGCCTGAGGAGGACTGTGGCCAGCAGCCTGGCATTGCTGTGCAGGGGA